AAAATTTTGGTCATTATCTTGTGTTTTCTTGAACAAACACATTTATATGCACCTGGGGCTGCATAGATTTATTTGTCCCGCGGTGATAGTGTTAAGCACACGGCAAGATGTTAAGGTATTTTCAATGCATGATGCATAAAGTACGCACCTGCGATGTCGTTTCACGCTTGAAGCGGTTGCTGCAAACATCGCGTTCCTTTCAAGGGAAACTGATATGCTCACGAGAAGGGACTCTTAGCTGTAGAGTGCATTTTTATTGTCTTTCTTGTGTGTTTATGTAAAGCATCATCACCGTAGATCTTAAACCAAGGGAGTAGGGAATAGTTATGTTAGGTTGAATAAGTTTTGTGGTTGTGTTTTTTGTTTGCCTATTTGTTTAACTTTGATGATAAAGCAATATGCCCAAGTTTCAATCATGCGTCCAAAGGATTATGGCTTTGGGGAACGTTCTGCCTGCAGACGTGAAGGTTGTCAAGGGGTTACGACAACATCCGTATGTGATGTGGTTGGCATGGAAACATTTTTTTGGCGTTGTATGGTCAAAGTCTAAAAGATATATATTTTTTAGATGACATGATAACTCCAAATGTTAAATAACAAACACTAATCACAGTTCTTAGTTGATAAATATTTTTATATGATATAGAACCATAGTATATGCTTATGCTTCTATATCATATGAAAACATATTATCAACTAAGAACTGTGATTGGTTAACCATTTGTTTGTTCATTTGTATGTTTTGATCTTTTACATGTACTCCTTGGGAGACCATTTGAGGCAGAGGTGAACATCGGCACAGATTCAAATACCATGTGGTATGACCTAGCCTTCTTGGAGAGTATCATGTCCGCTTCAGGAGTTCACATTGGTCGGTTGCTTGAGCCACAGGACTGGCAATCACTGCTCGCATCAGAGCTACGAACCCGTTCTTCAATGAGCAAAGAACACCATCTGAAAAGATCATTTTCAGAAATCAGTGGTGTTAGTGTCGGCATCGGCGACGCCAGTCAGCGTGCAGATGATAGTCAAGTCTCAGATGGTGTATATGGCTCAGTGCAAGACTCAATAGATGGGAGGAGCTCCAGTTCCAGTAGCCACCAACATAGTGATTCCAGACCATATCCAGCACATTCGAGTTGTTCAGTGCAGAGTCTTGGTTCCACTTCAGCCTCTTCTGCACACAGCGCTATGGAAGTTGTTTGGCCAAAAGGGTCATCATCAATCAATGAATCTCAACTGGTGTTGCATACACATGGACGAGACCAATTTGCTGGCCTTACACACATAGACAAAGAGCATGCTTTGAAGCACATGTCTCACGCCGACTTGGTTGCCTTTGCATTGCGTCAGTGCAATCAGATTGATAAACATGAACAACAACTTGACGCTGCAAGGAAGAAGCTGAAGTGTGAAAAGCAACGGTTGAGACGCTTACAAGTTGCGCACAACAAGATGAATGATAAACTGATTGCCTTGAAGACACCTGAACATGATGAACTTGATGTTTGGAGAGGCAGGGTGCGCAAACTATCCTGGCGTGGCTCGATCTCTTTAGGACTCCGCAAATCAATGGCCACTGCATCAGCCACGACATTTCCTAATGCTGCGCTTTTGGATCTGTCCAGACAAACAGTTACCAGATGTGAAATCATGGTTGGAGCCTTCCTGATATCAAAAGCCGTTATGTTTCACAGGCTGATCCAAGCGCTGTTGCAAACATTGGTGAGCTGGAATTCAGACAGTGGTGGAAGGGAACCAAGTTCACACTGTGCTTTCACAAGCGTGGTGCCCTATACCGATGATGATAATGTTGAAGTGCCTCCTTCCACACCTGACCATAGCAGTTCCACACTTGCTGCTAACCTTTCCGGTGGCAACTTGTTTTTTTGTTCTGGACAAGTGACTTCGCACGAAGAGGCTATGTGCAAAGATCTGGGCCTTCCTGTTCCTAGTGAAGATGGTAGCGCACATGCACTGCTTTCAAGTGTGGTGGGAGGATCGACAGCTTCCAGAAAACCATTTGCGCTTGGAGCAACATTTTGGTCCGGGGATGCAACCAACTCATCTATCTGGCAGAAACAGAAGTTGCAGGGGCTGATGACAATATCGGCCATCATGATAGATTGGCAACAACTTGTGGTTGGTGAGTTTGGCAAGGCGTTCAAGCGTATGAAGTGTATGCTACTGGATTTGCATTATAGTTCAATATGTTTTCTGGTGTGCTGTGGTGAGTGTAATGATTTGTTTGGCATTGTTTCTTGAATGCATATGTTGTTAAGGTGGTGGTAGTAGTTGCTGATGTTGTCACTTTCAACTTACAAAAAAAGGTTATGAGAGTTGAGAGCTTATCAACAGATGTGACATATGTTTGTCTTTAACACATCTTGTGGTTTTAGTTTGCACGCGGGGACCATTGATGATTTGCTAGCAATCTGAGTCAACAAACATAAGCTACATTGAAGAGTTTGAATATGGACATGAGCGTATGAGCAAATGAACGTTAACATTAATTAGCAAAATAAAATGATTACCAACCACACACACACAACCACTGCAATCACAAATGTCACATACATATATCAATATATTTATAGATATGTTTTGGTCAAGCGGTCAAATGTGTTTTGCAACATGGGGTTGGATTACGGGCCACTTGTGGGCCACGGGTTTCAGCCTAGGGTTGTCACTTTGAGAAAACCACCACATCACATGACACAACCTAACCATATTCATACTGAAAAAAAATATCAAACACAAAGACTCCACCTTCACAGTGTTCACTGCTTTAGCCGCTATGTATGCGCTTAACGCAGGTGTATAGCAATGTCAACAAAACAACACTGACTGTATAATCATGTTTGTCTAGTGGTAAAGGCAATCCTGCAGTGTCGCTTTTCTTTTGCAGTCGCATGAGTCACACGTGCATGAGCTGTACACTCTTGTCAAGCCTGCCTCAACCGCTGCGCTTATAGGTCAGATCTACAAGTCACTGCTCATGGCACAGCTGCAGGGAACATTTCAATTGTCAAGAAGCAGCTTGGACGTCTGGGAATCTACACGTGGGAACAAATGGCTGACGCTTTCAAGTTCCTTGGGCAGCCAAAAAGAGCAGTGATAGTGAGGCTTGAGGCTAAGCACGCTCTGAGCAACTACAAAGACTATGCAATCTAATGACTACTTATATGGTTTCTTGTTTTTTGTTTTATGTATATATGTATTGTGTTTTTATTTTTGTATGTAATGGTTTTCATGTTGGTTTAATGTTGTTAAGCTTCAGCAGGATTGAACCTAAGCTCAGTCTGTTGGACACGTTTGCAGACCAGAGGCCCTTTCACAAAGGTAATAACAGCCAAGAAGTTATGAACTGCTGAACATCAAACTATTTGACAAACAACAATCATTGGTTGTAGATTTTGTAGATTGAAAAAATAGCACACAACTATATTGTTTTCAACAACAATGCAACAACATCAATGATAAGTCAGGGAACCAACCAGCTGATCTATTCATGTGCTCTTCTTACAACCAACTCACCACCATGTATGGATATTCATGTTCATGATGAAAAATGAACAATAAACAATAAATATTCATCACGTGAGAACTTGAATTTGTCAACTTCTCCTTAGTTTTGCTGTGAGGTCTCGCCAAGTGCCAGAGGGATACTTCCATGTCTTCCTTTCAACCACCGATGACGGTCCTGATCAACGAGGAACACGGAATACACTTCATACCCAGTTTGCCACGGAGTACAAAGACTTGCCAATGTTTTTCTTCACTGGCCTATGTCTAAAACATCAATATCATTTGGCAGCTCGATCACAACTTGGTCTTTGTGACATATGGCTGAGAAAGTTACAAAAGAAGTACAAGTACTTCTCATCGGTGGCAACCATTTGTCACACATGGCGTGCTCACTTAGCAAAACTGCGCAAACTCTGGCGTGAGCTTCATCAAGGTGATATTGGTCTTGGCCTTGGTCGACAGGCTGCAGAGTTCCGTGTACCACCACTAGCTGTGGCCGGCAGGTGGGCAAGTGTTGACGGTTGCCAAGCTGCAAATGGTTGTGAGTTGTGGGTGTGGACGTTTACTTTAGGAATGGTGTTTTGGTTGTTTGCCTGCATCTGATCTTGATCTTGTAGCTGTTCTTGTTCTTATGTGATTGCGTGTCACAGTCTTGGTGACTTCGTGTCTAGTTTCTCCTAGTGTGTCACTGAACAACCTGAGAAGTTCTACAGCTGGGCTCACAACAGCTCATGAGCTCATGTTTCTATAAGATTTGATTCCACACTGTTTGCATATCAAAATATACACACATGGGTTGTGTGTTCAGTGTTCAAACAGCAAACCAACATATGATATGGTCTAGCACATGTGTGTATGAGCACACTAGGGGTCTTTCACTAGATGATGATGACTATACACAGTCAAGAAACGAAACTCAGACGCAAACACACACACACAATACTACATATAACAGAGAAAAGCTGATTGAACCATGAGTCATCTATATCTTAAACAACATTATATACTTGTATTTAAGTATTTAAGCAACCGTTCAATAACTAACTTTGTGTGTTAGAGTTTGATGTCTAGATGTCTAGAGTCTATGTGTGTTAACACAACAAGTTTTATTTCTGCAGACCAACAAGGCGAATCCATCCATAGACAATAGTTGTGATAAACTTCCTGATTGCCAGATTGCTTTACTTAGTTTATCAGTGATAAACTAAGTAAAGCAATCTGGCAATCAGGGAGTCAGTGTTTTTGCATGTCGCAAGTGGTTGATGAGATGAGGCGCTGAGACCTTCTACATCAACGCTGGTGCTGCAAATGTGCGAGATGTTTTTGTGGGCACTTTCACAAGCAAGGTTTTAGCACAGCAAGACGCAGAGTGTGAGAGTGGCAACGCAGACCCTTTGGATGAACTTGCGCTTGATGAGTCCAAGCACTACAAGCAGAAGATATCACGATACATCAAGAACTCCCTCACATGTGTCAGTGATCCTGCCTATTGGTTTATCCTTTGGACTTCAAACCACACCCGTAAGCCGTTGCTGCACTTCTATAGATTCCTATGTGTGAAGCACACGTCCACCCGATTGCATGTGGTGGAATTGGTGGGGCAACGCTTGGATCTGGTGATGGCTGAATTCAACCAGCTTGTTGCTTCATTTGACTCACGGATTGATGCAGCCTTCACTTTCATGAACCTCGAGAACAGGTCGGAGATGGCGTTGGATGATCTGTTGGCTTCAGCTTCTTGCACACAGGAAACTCTTCACGCTGTTGCTGCATCACTTCTTCTCCACAATGCTGCAGCGTTTGAGCGGCGTGTGTCAAGATACTATCAACGGTGCTTTTCTTAGTGGGTGCAAGTCAGAGGACTTATTTGTTTCAGATGAACACACGGCTCAAGAGGGTATGGCAAACAATGTTGAACATTACACTAATAGACTAGACTAAGAGTCTAAGAGTATTTACTGTAAATGTTTCATATAGTATATGTGATGTGTGTACACAGACTTACACGGGACAGCGTCTTCTTGTATATGTTGCAAAGCGACACACACACACACACTCCAACTAACCATACAATGTCAAAACCAACACCATATTGAGTCAAGGGCCAAGGGCTGTGTTAGTCTGCCAATGTTAGTAGAATAGAATAGTTTGGACTTTCATATATGTAATTGATGTCACTATATATATATTATGCAGAATGACAACGGTGTTCACCCTTACTGTACTTCATGTTGTGGCTGTTTGTTCAATATGTTCACATTACTTTGAACTGAGGTGGCCATGGCCTTTGTTTCGGCTGCTATATGATCCTCTGGATATGCCTTCTCAGACCAGGAAAGTTATTGCCATGAAGGTGTTGGGTTCAGATATATCAACATTGGAGCACAACACAAAGAAGATCAAGCTATATTGCGACGCTGGTCTCAAGCACATAGCAACAACAGGTTGTGTTGAGCAGGGGTGCTTGCTACATGCCATTTTGGTTATTTCAAGCCAGAACTTGTCGCTTGATGCTGGAGAGCTGGAGTCTTTGAACAGCATGATAAAGACTGCCACATCAACATACAACAACATGTCTTTGGAACTGCTCTCATCAAGAGTCAACTGCCGGAAAACTCTCATGTTGGCAACACATGGACAACGAACCTTTCAAGAGACAAAGCAGGCTGCGTGTGCTCTGGCAACATCATCAATGCTCTACCAGGGCATAGAGAGGGATGTGCTTGGTGAATCATTCAGGTGGACTCCGCCAGAGCCAGTGCCACACATCTTGAAGTACAGTCCCCTTGCCATTGATCCCGGGATTCAATTGTCCAAGGCAGAAAAGTGGGCTGTCAAATTCAATTCAACGGTGATGAAGAAACTGCTTCAACATCAAAAAAGTGACAGTGTGTTGACACCTGGACTTTCCATTGTCTATGAAACACATACATCATTCTATGTGTGTTGCGAACTTGGAGGGCGCACTTGTCAGTGCTTGCTGTTGGAACCACGCTCCAAAAGAGATCAGCCTGACAATCTTACATTGCTTGTTCCAGCGGGTTTGGGCTTTGTCAGCTCTCTTAGGGCCATTGCCAGCTCCTTTGAGGACTTGCAAGACAAACCCAAGTGTGTCATTCCATTGAACATGGTGCAGCTGAAGCTTTGTGGGTTGGACAGGCAAACATGTGCTCATCTTGAGTCACATGAAACCAGGCGTTTGCACTACACAGTTGTGGAAACAGAGCTGGTTGCAACATTGCGTCGTCGGAAAGAATACACAAAAAGGAAGCCACAGGCATGTGCTGAAGCTGACAGTGACAATGAAGGAGATGAGGAAGATGAACCATCTCCTGATCTATTGAACGCTTTGGAGCAAGAGTTGTACGGTGAGTGTGAGGACACTATGCTGGATGCGGAGCTGATGACAGACGAGATGAATCAAGATCTGGCTGACTTAGAGGAACTTCACAGCAAGTTTGTAGCAGCAGCTGCTGAGCGGCGGCATGATGGAAGAAACACAAAACACACTGATGCGGATGAGGCTAAGACCAGCGCCAACACAACATCTTCTGAAGACAGATCCTTTGAAGATGAAGTCGCAGAATCAGTCTTGACAGAGCTGCTCGAATCTGATGACTTGCCTCGTGAGGCTTCCAATGAGTCAACACATGGTATTCCTATGGCCATCGCAATCACAGAGGAGATGATTACCAAGTGTCTCAAGACATGGGCTCACAAGGTTCAAATGTCTCTTGAGGCATGTCGGTTTATGGCAGACCAGCTTGCTACATTCGAGGTGGACAGGCTTGATACATGCCTTGGCAGCAACGTGTCACTGCTCATCCATAGTTCTGGTGGCAGTGTTGACGACAGCGCTGAAGTTGCATTTGTGAGCTGGGTCAAGCCATATCGGAATTTGGAGGGTCGCATTGTGTCATTAGATGAAGACAGAGGGCTCATCTATCCATCACATTTCTTGCCTCGATTGAAATTCTTTGGATCAATAATGATTAGTCATGCAACTGGCTCCAGGATCCGCAAGAAAGGTAGGGAAACTATGCAGCGTACAGTGCTGTGTCTACAATCTATGTTTCAAGCCGGTCTTGATTCAGGAGCTTTCTATTGTGAAACAGACTTGTTGTCTGATCAGTTTATGGTGTGTGCTGCTTGTGGAGACGGCTCTACTACAACATCACCCGTAAAGAGATGCTCATGCTGTCTGTTGTCTTGGCACCATGCATGCAGCCGCACGGTGGGCAGCAACTCAGCCAGCTTCATAGTCACAGAGGATGCTGCCACCCTGTATCGGTTTGACTTGCGCGTGGGTGATCTTCCCTTTATCTTTTTGCCCATGCCTGAGCTGTGATCATGGGTGCTGGTGGCGGGTGGTGTTATTGGCTAACATTAGCAGTCTGATGTTTTGAAGTTGCAGTGAGTTGGTAATGTATTGAGCTTGAGCTGATATATGCAAGATTGAGTCACACTATTGTTAACGCTTCAGTAGCTGTTTCATATACATGTGTGCGCAAACACAAGTCATCAGCAACCAACAAAGACTTAAAATCTATAGTGATTAGTGTCCTATGATAGACACATATTACACATATGACTCATACATGGCTTAATTAGCATTTGTGCGCTACACTGCAAACGCGGCACACTACTGCTTCTCAGAGTTTGCTCAGGCAGGAACCAGAGGATTCCGCTGATATCTTCACCAAGATGTTTCCACCTGGAGATGGAACAGGCGCTGGAGTGAGGAAGGCCCGTGCAAGCGACGTCATGACTGAGTAGCGTGGCCTGACATGGCTACCAGTTGTTAAGCTGTTTTTTCTTTTGTATGTTTACTAAATTGTTCATGAATGTAAGACATAAATACAGCAAATATCAATTGTTTGTTTGGTTGTGCGTTGTCAGATACTTCTTCTGTGCAAAAGCCTAAAGCACAGGTACACAATAACTTAATTTAGTGAACTCACACAATGACAGCACACACTCTTGAGCATAGTTTGTAACGAGATGAACATGATATTGTCCAAAGATGTAAGGCATACATAAATATACATGCGCTTCAGGTCTGACATACATCGCCGTCTACAGGGCGATCTGGTGAGCCTGTGTGGCGCCTGCTCAACCATTGTGAAGCAACAAGGAGTCCACTCCACCAACCTGACAGGATGTAGGATTGGTGAAGCATGTCTTTTGCAGTCAGTTGAGTTGAGCTAGACATTTCAGAATAGACACATAACAAAACAATGTTACAACGTTTGGCTTGAAATACTATCAATTGAAGTGTTAGGGTTGCCTTCAATAAAATCAAAAGTCTTTGATCTTCACCAACACTGAAGGAGCTTTGGATTCTACATCGTCTACATCGCCTACAACATGATCACGTGGATGATTTAGTGGTCCGGAGGCGATACACTATACACGGCGATATCGATACTGCTGCAATCTCACAGCATAAATATACCTCTAGATGTGTAAACTATGAACCTAATGATTATCAACTTTCTAGTATGGTTTGCCAAACAGCCACAGAGTCATTGAATACAAATCACTTATTTATGTTTGCAACCGTTTCATTTTACTTTGAGTTGCTTCTCTGTGCAATGACAATGACAAACGATAATATATATAAGGACTAGATGGCTCAAATGACTAAAGGACAAATCTGTTCAGAGAGCTCTTGGGTCAGAAGCTTTTGATACATGTCAACCATATCACTATCACTTGGACAGGTGTGTGGCATGTGGCTGCTTATGGACGGGGTGAACGTTCACACCTCAGTCTCAGTCAGTCAGTCTGTCAGTCAGTCTGTCAGGCAGAGTACATAATTATTTGTTTTATGATGGCGTGACTGATTCTCAAAGAATTGGAAGCTTCGGAGATTATTTGACAATGTCAAATATCATTAACCTTATTTTGTTGTGACCACAATACAACAAATAGCCAATGGGTCAATGTAGTCAGTGGTAAGTAATACAATGTTAAGATGTTGATGTTTAAAGCATACTGGTTCAAGAGCTTCACAGCAACCGGATGCTGCACAACTGTTATCCGCCTATCTGCTAGCGGCTGTGGCTATGGCAACCTTTGGTGGTGAAAGCATATGGAATCTACCAGCAGGGAAACCAGTGGACATTGATCTGAATTCAGATAGTAGCGACAACGGCGATGACATGTGTTCTCCAGTGCCAGCACCAAGCTTCCACGCTGGCACACCTGCGCTGCTGACTGCTACAAACAAGGCCGCCTCAGCCATCAATGTGGGATACTCTGTGGGATGTGAAATGCATGAACAGGAGCTGCAATCATTTGATTCACAACACGACAATCACTGGGCAACAGTGCTTGTTGCAAACACTGAAGGAACAATTCCTTGTTTCAGCGATCTATCTGCCGATGACTTTGATGGTACTGAATCAGGAGACTTGCCTGATGATGGCTTTGAGGATACACCTCACCCTCCGCTTGGGTATCGTTACTATGGAAACTCTCCAACTGAGACAATGACAATGTCTGATATGGTTGATCAAGGTGGAGACGGAGACGCAGCAGCAGGTCCTCAGCCAGAGGAAGGCCATGATTCAGTTGAATCATCTATGATGAGTGATGTTGCAGATTCAGAGATCGAGTCACCATCTGTACCGCCGTATGGGTCTCCTACTCATTTGCCATCTGCAAGTGATGGTGAAGGTGAAGATGAAGGTGACATTGCATTGCCTGCTGAAGCTGATACAAATCCGGAACCTGAGGAAGATCATCATTTGAACACAACTTGTTGTGTTAGTGGGTCGAAATCAGGCCACTGTGCTGAATGTACAGTCATTGGCAGGTGCATGCGTTGCAACCGGCGACT